CAGGACCAGATGGAATCCCGCCAGAAGCACTGAGAACAGACGGAGAGACAACAGCGGATATGCTCACGCCACTATTGCAGAAGGTTTGGAAGGAAGCGAATGTGCCTGCCTGTCGATTAGAAGAAGGGCTACCTTGTCAAACTTCCGAAGAAGGGAAACCTAAGTGTTTGCAAGAACTGGCAAGGAATCACTCTCCTGTCCACCCCAAGCAAAATACTAAGCCACATCATCCTGGAGAGATTAAAAGGAAAATGCTCTGGATTCAAAACTACAACCGGAGCAGGCAGGCTGGCTTCAGGGAGAGCAAATCATGTGCGGATCAAATTGCAACTCTGCACTACGCATCATCATAGAACAGAGAACGCTTTTCCTGCCACAACCGTTTATCAATCTCATTCAACAGCTATATGGAAACGCCACATTCCGAGTGATACATGATGGAAAGCTCAGTGACGCTTTTGAAGTGAAGACAGGAGTAAGACAAGGCTGCCACCCACTGTCACCGATGATCTTCCTGATTGTGGTAGACTGGATTATGCAACAAACTGTGAGGAGTGAGAAGAGGGGCATATGCTGGCTGGACCGATGAAAAGAGCCTAGAAGATTTGGATTTCGCCGATGACTTATGTCTGATGTCACACGAACTTGAAGATCTACAGGCGAAAACCAACAAGTTGACAGAAGAGGTGAGGCAGGTCAGCGAAGACGGGACTTCAAGTGAATGTGGAGAAGACGGAGGTGATGATGATACCCAACCAACAACAGCATCAACAACAAGCACTAATCACCATGAACGGGAGAAACCTAAAGGAAGTAGTCTCTTTCACCTACCTAGGCAAGGCAGCATCGTTTCAACTGCAGGTGGCACAGATGAGGACGTCAAAGTCAGGATCGGAAAAGCAAGACAGGACATCATTAACCTGAAAGCGGTGTGGAGATCTACTGCACTCAGCATAAAGAACAAGATCCGAATTTTCAACACCAACGTGAAGTCAGTCAGTGCTGCTATATGGTTCAGAAACTTGGTGCGTTACGAAGAGCATTTCCAACAAACCACAGACATTCATCAACACCTGCTTACGCTTGGTACTGAAGATCGATGAGATGGCCAGAATAACAAGAATAGGCAACAAGGAACTCTGGCAGGGCAACGAACCAACCAAGAACCCATCGCCCAACCAATATGCAGAAGAAAGTGAAGATGGATTGGATTGGGCATACACTGAGAAGGCCGACTGGGGACATCATGCATCGGGCCAGGCCCTCGAGTAGAACCCAGATGGGAAGTGACGAGTTGGGCGTTCGAGGTGAGGGTGACATGGAGGAGATGCTGTGAGGAGGAAATGAGAGCTTCTGGGGAGTCGTAGAGCCAGGTTCGAAAGACTGCAGAGAACAGAGTGCACTGGAGACGTGCTACTGAAGCCGTATTTTCCATTAGGAACCCAAGGGACAAGTAATAAGTAATAATAATAATATGTGCTGTGAGCAAGGATTTTAGTGGTCTCATTGCTACTTCTTTTGTTTGTTTATATATTTTTTCCTGAAACCTGTGGACATGAGACACAACTTTACATCAAGCATGATCTCACCGACCGATACCTTAGCTCTATGAGCAAGCCGTGAGTCAATATTTAGCTGATATTTAGCGGACTCCTGTTAATCCCGTATTGGTTGGTATCAGTATAAAGGCTTGCCACATTAAAAGTAAAAAAAACTTCATCATATTTTATACGTAGGTCATTGAATTCTAGTTTCAATTCGTAAGAATTTTCCTGGTCTAGAATTTGAAAGATTTTTATTAAGCTATAATCCTGCTGATAAGTACTTGGATAGTTATTTTATCGGTGTATTTCAGTCCTATGAGATACTTGTTTTATGAACATTAATGGGATTGTCAAACTCCAATAGGAATATAAATTTTATGCATTAATCTGCAGGTTTGTGGGGAATTAATTGCCGTTGTTATGCATTAAATTAAGCCATCTAGACTCGCATAAAAATGCCTGCAGTTGGCGTATCAGATCGGCCATAGATTTTTTAATCTTATTCATGACAATGTCTGTAGATTTCTTAATCTTTTCGTTTGACCCCATGTGGATACGTCCTTCAACTTTCTTGAACTAATCTGATTTCTCAGCCACTACTGTCGAATTACCTGCATCCGATTTGATGAGAACTATCTATGCACCCGACCGATAGTTGCTACCTTGACGTCGTGCTCAAGCTTGCATATCACAATGACCCAACGAGCTATGCTGGTGGAACGCTTGTTCCCTCGAGGTTGTCCAATACCAGAAACCTCTATTGGATAGTGGTTAGACGAAAAGCAGTTGCCGTTGTGGTGTAAATTACTACACTATGATGGGGGTCTGAGGGCGAAGTCGTACTGCTGCTAGCTGGATGGGGTGTGACAGCAGTAAGGTGTTTCCCTTAGATGACTAGCAGTGCCATGCTGATGCTGCCTTCTCAGTGGAAGGAGGGGTTAGAAAAGGTCAACCCCAAAAATAACACACTCCACCATGCCTCACGCTCAAGCTAACAATTCCGTTAACCTGACTAAGTGCACTACCACCATTCTTGTATTCCTCAGCAGGTAGTCCGTCTGGTCCTGCTGCCCTTCCCCGTTTCAGGCTACCTACCGCTTTCTCAACTTCTTCTAGTGTTGGGGGACCTGTCTCTATGTCCCATTCAGGATCCGACTGGATAGCGGGCAGCGCAATGGTGGCTGGAGGCCAGTTAAACTGTTCCTCGAAGTGTTCTGCCCATCGTCCAGTCGTCTCCCCTGCGAGTGAATCGCAGATCCGTCCTTCTCCGCTATAGCCTCACTAACTGTTGTTGACCATTTCCCCCAGTCTCCTTAATAAGTCTAAATAACTGTCTACTGTTACCGATCGCCGCTGCCTTTTCCATCTCTTTAGCCTTCGCTGCCCACCACTGTTCACGATCGTTGCGCAGACTTTTCGTCAGTCTATTTTTAAGTTGCGCTCGCTCTTCATTGTACTCAGAGCCTGCAGGGATGCATTCACGTGCATCCATTAGTTTGGAAGAAGCTGCTGATATCCACTGGCTCTTTTTAGCCATTATTTTGGAGTCGGCTACAGTCTCCAGTGCTGCTTTTACAGTAGACTGAAGATGGCACCAAGCTTCTTCTGGATGAGTGACAGTCTTTTGTTCCGATAACTGCCTAGCCAACTTCTCACTGAACACGGCTTTGGTGTTTTCGTTGTCCAGCAGAACTCGTAGTGGTTTTGTTGCCAAATTTTTTCTACGTCCATTGAGACGCAGGCATATACGTGCTCGGACCAACGCATGATCGCTGTCCAAACACGTACTCCAGAAGGAGCGGCAGTCTTCCACCGATCCTCTCCAGCGATGACTAATAGCAATGTGGTCTATCTGTGTCCATCGCTGAGTCGAGCTCGGTGGACGCCAGGTCAGACAGTGCCTTTCTTTATGTCTGAAATTTGTGCTGGCTAAAAATAGGCGGTTATCTGAGCATAGTTGTAATAGGCGATCACCGTTATCTGTACGTTCAGCTGGGATTCCGAAAGTGCCACCTAAGTGCCTTTCTGCCTCACTCAGTCTACCCACCTGTGCGTTGAGGTCACCTGCAACAACCACTACGTCCGAACGTTTGGCTTTCGAGAGGAGGTTAGACAGTTTATGGTAGAACTCGTCCTTCACTTCATCCGACTGCAGTCAGTGGGTGCGTAAGCAGAGATTACAAAGAGACAACGGCGAGTCTCACTATTCCTTTTAGTTCTCACTGTGCCGTTCAGCCTCATAGCGCAGAGGCGACTATCAACTGGGATCCAGTCTAGTAGTGAGTTTTCTGCCCTGGTGCTTAATGCTATACCTACACCTGCAAGACCACGAGAGCTAGCTATCGAATCTCCAGAAACTCGAAGGGTGAATTTTGCAGATTCACCAGATTGGTCAGGAGAGGTCAGGTGAATAACCACACTTGGGTCCTGTATGCGTGTCTCACAAACACAGCACACATCCATGCCCGAGTTGCTAGAGTCTTTGCCAACGAAGCCTGTTGGCCAATTTGACGGAGGGTGCGGACATTGAAGGCTCCAATATGTAATTTGGAGCGTGGTTTAAGGAGACCAGGGATGCTGTTCTGTGGACTCAGATCGTTGTCGAAGGCTGCAGAGGTAGGAGAAATTGAAGATGATGCAGCATCATTAATTAAGAGACGTGAAGGAAGATTAGAAGGTAATGATGGAGGAGGAGGATAGCAGTCAGAAGAAACTTGGGTGCTGACAGAGTTGTGAGGGCGGTTGACACTTCCCGGCTGCCCACACCGTGGAAGGCTATTTCTTCTTAAGGTACCTGAAAGAGATTTGTGTGACCGCAGAGCCCATCGGACATCTGCTTGAGGCCTGTCACACCCAGCCTTTTGAGTATGATTATTTTGAACTTTGTATTTTTGGGGCCGGATGGTCGAAAGGAAACGACAAGTGAACCAACACCGCCGGCCCGGCAGACCGTGGGGCGTGGTGGAGTGTGTTATTTTTGGGGCCGACCTTTTCTAACCCCCCTTCCACTGAGAAGGCAGCATCAGCATGGCACTGCTGGTCATCCAAGGGAAACACCTTACTGCTGTCACACCCCATCCAGCTAGCAGCAGTACGACTTCGCCCTCAGACCCCCATCATAGTGTAGCAATTTACACTACAACGGTAACTGCTTTTCGTCTAACCACTATCCAACAGACCTTTCTGGTATGGGACAACCTCGAGGGAACAAGCGTTCCACCAGCATAGCTCGTTGGGTCATTGTGATATGCAAGCTTGAGCACGACGTGAATGTAGGAGGCGTTGGTCTTCTGCTTCACACTAAGGTATCGTATAGATACTGAGCGCACATGAATTAACTTACTTACTGGGTAGTGCTATACTGATCATCAGCAACATCAAATTCATAATCATCATCGCAAGAAGAAAAGAAGCCGAACTATGAAATAAGGATGCAGCAAAGAAAGAAAACAAAGTCCACTGATTAGCTTGTAGCCTTGTATATTTGATAACAGCCGAGGAAGGAAATAAACTACACTGCTAAATGAAGAACATGCATATAAAATTAATCATTATTATCAAAAAAAAATCAAAGTGCATTATGCTTTTTCGACAAAAATTACAAAAGGTTACTTTATCTTCATGATATTATCATTTCTTCTTTAACCCGATAATCTTCTTGAATCAATTTACTATGATATATACGTATTCAAGGAAATGACAGTGAAATAAAAGTGCTAACTTCTATGTAACTGATTCCTTAATAATTTCTGTTCCTGATTTTTTATTACTGCAACCTGAATCTGATGATGATAACAATGGTGCGACAAAATTTGTGGTGATGGCTGATACAGCAGAACTTAAAACATTGGATATCTAAAAAGAAAGCAAAAACTGACACTCAGGTTTTCATGATTACAAAAGACTTCATAAACTTTTCTCATCACTGGATGATACTGGTAACAAAGCTTTTCAAAATCAAAGACTACAAAACAGATATTTCATCTTAAATTCAATCCTTTCCACACTAATTATCAATTCATTCTAGATTAGACATAGTAATGGTCAATAACTCCTCATTTAATAAAAGTATACTTCCAAAATCTCTAATAAAAATCAGAAGCTATGAATGAAAAAAAATATAACTGCCAGTGAGTCAGTCATTCAACAGTAAAGTGAGATCAGGAATCACTATATAATAGTTCAAGTTGTCGGACTTATATCAATATATAAGGCAAGAACAAAGACAAAGTAATGTAAATAATATTGTAAAAGCTGTAGAAAGTCATAAGAAAACAAGAAGAGGTTTTATCGAAAAACATGAAATGATGATAAAGATTTTTAGATTTGTAGGTGATGATCACAGTTTAATATCTCCTAAGCTTCAAACCCATATCTTATGATTAGAATGAAAACAGGTAAATGTATCTACACTGAAAGTGATACTCAGTTATATGGCTAAGAGTCTCTAATACTTAATTTCAATTTTTTAACAGACCTCTTTGTATACATTTGCAAACTGTGTTATATTGAATTAATACTCTTCTGTGTAAATTTCTAAACTGGATTTCTTATGTGTTATGCGTAACTGAACTTGAATGTCGACATTTGACTACACGACTCAAATCAACAGCTAGGGATTTCATTAACTGATGGCATGTTGTGATCTGATCATCCTTACGTTTTTCCCAAATCAGCCACATTTTAGCAGAAGCAGTTCATTAAGATAGACGAAGAATCTGCATAAACAGCACTTGTAACAGCTAGTGTTATGATAAATCAATCAAATGACTTACCTCTTTTCTACGTCTAACCCCTGGCCTCCTCATATAGTAGTTTCACGACAGGCAACCCAAGCTGTAACCACAACGGTGGTTGAATACCTAGAATTTTCTCAGATATTTCTCTTCCAGTGGACTGACTGGTAAAATCAACTTAAAATCTAAAACATAAGAGCTTCGGCTCAAGTCGTCATACTTCACCGTAGTACAAAGAGAACAGATGGGTAGAAAAAGAGTTATATCAAAGTAGATGAGGTAGTATAGGAAAATAAACAATTTGAGGATAAAGGTTAGTGTGAATATCCAAGCTTTAGAAGATGCTAACGAGTGAATACATCTGCACCATTGTGACTGATTTTCAGCCATGTCTTCAACCGCTGATTCCTTCCATCTCAAGGACCCCAACTAGGAAGTCCACATCGTCTTAAACAACTCGGACCAACACTAAGAGACTTAATCGACTGGTGCCATGTCCCTGTTTTGCCACTCTGAACACTCTTCAAACGTAATCCAACTTTCCTCAGCATGGACCTTTAGTAAACACAGATTAGGACGAAAAGAGCAGCCATACAGTGTACTCGATACTTAAATGGTGAAAACTAACTGACCCTTATGTATCTGTGCCGAGGTTTCATGGGTCACCCACCCACCAGGGTCTATCCTATCTCCTCAGTAGGTGGTAAGGAGGTTAGTAAACAGTTGTCGAACACATTTCTTATTATCAGATGCCTATTAATTCCGACAAGTCTTGAAGTAACTAATAAAATACGAAAGTGAGAAACGTATCACAAGCATTCTTAACTTTTTCGGAAAACTCTCTATCACGTGAGCGTTTCCATCGCACAATACCATGTCACTTGTTTATTCCACTGTTAGGTCAAGTGTATAATAACATTTGAGTTCTGTATGCATGCACATCTCACAAACACGAGTTGAGATGAATGAGTATTAGCTAATGAAATTTATCAGATTTAACGAAAATTGAGGGCATTGAAAGCTTCTAACTGGGGTTTCAGGAGATGAATGATGCTATTCAGTGAACGTGAATCGTTATCACGAGATGAAGAGTTCGAGGACGCTACGGATGATGTGGAAATCTCAAGAATGAGAAAATGTGGAATTCAGTGAGGTAGAAGGGTGAAGGGGAGTGGAAAGGATTCGATAACTGGTTGTCGACACCAAACACTTCCTAAGTAACCCGAAAAACGTTTCTTATCGAGACAAATGTAACATCAATATGCAAACTGGAATTACTGAATAACTGCTCGAGTTGTCAAATTTATCTAAGCAAATAAGGCTAGGATGCATCAAGATGAAAAATAAAACAAAACAAAAGAGACCAGTCAAAAGTTGTCAAAACAGAGAGAAGGGGAAATAAGAAAACACTGAAATTCAGCATAACGTCTAAGACGAAGACTACTGAAGGATACTTAACTGCACCCAGCCAATATTATTATTATTATTATTAGTCCCTTGGGTTCCTAGTGGAACATAGGGCTTCGGTAGCACGCCTCCAGTGACCTCTGTTCTCCGAGATCTTTTGAACCTGGTTCCACGACAGCCCAGAAGCTCTCATTTCCTCCTCGCATGACCTCCTCCATGTCACCCTCGGACGTCCAACTCGTCGCTTCCCATGGGGATTCCACTCGAGGGCCTGACGCGTGATGTCCTCAGTGCATGGCCAATCCATCTCCACTTCTTCCTGCATATTTGTTGCGTGATAGGTTCTTGGTTGGTTCGTTCCCAGAGTTCCTTGTTGCTTATTCTTTCTGGCCATCTGATCTTCAGCAGCGAGCGCAAGCAGTTGTTGATGAATGTCTGTAGTTTATTGGAAATGCTTTTCGTAACGCGCCAAGTCTCTGAACCATACAGGAGCACTGACTTGACGTTGGTGTTGAAAATACGCATTATGTTCCGCATGCTGAGTGCAGAAGTTCGCCACACTGGTTTCAGGCTAATGAAGGCCTGTCTTGCTTTTCCGATTCTGACTTTGACGTCCTCGTCCGTCCCGCCTGTAGTTGAAACAGTGCTTCCTAGATAAGTGAAGGAGGTTACTTCCTTCAAGTTTCTCCCGTTGACGGTGATTGGAGTTTGTTGTTGTTGTTGATGGTCCCGTCTTAGCTGCCTCTTCTATCAACTTGTTAGTTTTTGCCTGCAGATCTTCAAGTTTGTGTGACATTAGGCATAAGTCATCGGCGAAATCCAAGTCTTCTAGGTTCTTTTCCGTCGTCCAGTGTATCCCCCTCTTCTCGCTGCCTACTGTTTGCTGCATGATCCAGTCCACCACAATAAGGAATATCATGGGGGATAGTAGGCAACCTTGTTTCACTCCTGTCCTCACTTCAAAGGCATCACTGAGCTTCCCATTGTGGATTACTTGGCATGTGGCATCTTCATATAGTTGTTGAATGAGGCGGATAAAGGTTTGCGGTACTCCGTAGTATTGAAGCAGTTTCCAAATTACTTCTCGGTCGACGCTGTCAAAGGCCTTCTCAAAGTCGATGAAGTTGAGGTAGAGAGCTGATTGCCATTCTACGCTCTGTTCTATGATGATACGAAGCGTTGCAATTTGGTCTGCACATGATTTGTACTTCCTGAAGCCTGCCTGTTCCGGTCGCAGTTTTGAATCCAGTGCGTCTTTAAGCCTCTCCAGGATGATGCGGCTTAATATTTTACTTGGGGTGGACAGGAGAGTGATTCCGCGCCAGTTCTTGCAAGCACTGAGGTCTCCCTTCTTCGGCAGTTTGACAAGGTAACCCTTCTTCCAATCGCCAGGTACCTTCTCTTCCTTCCACACCTTCTGCAATAGTGGTGTGAGCATGTCCGCTGTTGTCTCTGCATCTGTTCTCAGTGCTTCTGGCGGTATTCCATCTGGTCCTGCTGCTTTCCCGCATTTCAGTAGCTTTATGGCGTTCAGGACTTCCATTTTCGTTGGGGGATTAATGTTCACTTGTAATTCAGCGGCTGCAGGTGGTATTTCTGGACGAAGTGCAGGTGGTGGTCGATTCAAGAGCTTCTTGAAGTGGTCGGCCCATCGTTTCCTCTGTTTCTCTTCTTTTGTAATTAAATTTCCTTCTTCATCTTTTATTGGTTTCATCTGTGTTGGTCTCTTCCCTGATAGCAACCTGGTTATTTGATACAATGTCGTCAGGTCTCTCTTACCTGCAGCCTGTTCTGCTTCACTTGCCAGTGTTTCGTAGAAGTGTCTTTTGTCTTTGCGTGCACTCTTCTTCACTTCTTTGTCCAGTGTTTTATACATTGTGCTCAGTTCCTCTTGTCGTTGAGCATCCTTGCACTGGTTTATCTTCTGCTTCACCATCCTCCTCTCCTCTATCAGCTTCCAGGTATCCGTCGAGATCCATTCCTTGTCTTCTTTCTTCTTCCTTCCTAATACTGTTGTGCAGGTTTCTTTCCACATAGCTTTCAAAGACTTCCAGTGTTCTTCCACACAGGTTTCTTCAGGGATGTCCCTCGATGTCTCCCATTTTGTCTTGATGGCTGCCTTGAAGATCTCCTTTGTAGTTTCATCCTTCAGTTTCCGAGTGTTGTACTTGAATTGAGGTCTATCACCAGCTTCCTTGAAGGCTTTTAACTTGATTTGGAAGGTTCCTTGCACTAGATAGTGGTGGTCTGAACCTACATCTGCTCCTCTTCTTGACCTTGTGTTAAGTAGACTGCGTCTCCATTTTCTTGAGATTGAGATAAAGTCGATTTGATTTTTAGTGTGTCCATCTGGTGAAATCCATGTCGCTTTGTGGATATCCTTGTGCCTGAACACACTGCCTCCAATCACCAAATCGTTGAATGCACAGAATTCTGCAAACAATTCTCCATTCTCATTCATTTCACCTAGCGCCTCTCGACCCATGGTTAGTTCTCTTCCCGTGTTGTCCCCTCCCAGTTTGGCATTCATGTCGCCCATTAGAATTTTGATATCGCCAACTGACGTCTTGTCCAGTGTTGATTGAAGTTGTCTGTAGAATTCCTCCTTTTTCTCTTGCTCTGCATTATTTGTAGGTGCATAACATTGTATGATTGTGACCTTTCTTCCTTTTGAGTTGAATCTTGCTGTCATGATCCTGGAGGAGATTGGTTCCCACTGCATGAGAGCCTTCGATGCTCTTGAGGACATCATGATAGCCACTCCCTCAGTGTGCTCGTGGTTGGCGTCTGGGTGACCGGAGTAGATTATTGATTCTCCAGTTGACAGTTTGGAGAGTCCACTCCCATTCCATCTGCTTTCGCAAATCCCAAGCACTTCGATGTGATACCTTCTCATCTCCTTTGCAATCTGGGCTGCCTTACTGGGTTCAAACATCGTGCGGACATTCCATGTCCCCACGTTTACTTTCGCTTTCATCGAGAGAAGACACATCGGCCAATTGGCTTCCCGAAGGCTTTCACCAACTGGCGTCATTTCGCCTCTCCGATTCCAGCGGGGAATAAGTTTGTTTTCATTTTTTATATTTTGTTTGTGCTTTGAAGTTTCTTTAGCGGTTAGATTTGTTTTACGGGGTAGGGTTGCTAGCCCTATGCCCAACCTTCCCTCTTTACCCGGGCTTAGGACCGGCTAGTAACTAGTAAACTAGTTAACCAGGCGAGGTTACCCAGCCAATATGGGGGATCGGAAAAATTCACGCTCCGAGCTTTTGGAGATTCGATGGATAATTCTTCTCATCTTGCAGGCGTAGGTATAGCATTAGGTGATAAGGCAGAAAGTGCAGTGCCCCACTGGATCTCACTTGATAGTTGTCTGAGCTGTTCTACTGAACCGCGCAATCAGGGCCAAAAAGAATGGTGAAACTTGACGTCGACTATTTATAATACCCATTGTCTGCAGTCCACATGAAATGAACAATGAGTTCATAGCAAAAATGTTTGGCCTCGTACTGAAAGGAACCAAGTAGACAGTTGTCGGAACAGGTAAGTATAGCATTTCAGCTACATCTCAAATCGTCATCATCGAAATTGACGTACGACCAAGAATTACTGCATAACGGTCCAAGTTGCCACATCTCATATCACCACATCAAGTAACAAGTCAACAAAATAGAAGATAAAGGAACAAAATGAGTTCAGTCAAAAGAAGTAGAAAGTAGTAAACTAGAGAAAGGAAGAATGAGGAAATGATGAGATTCGGTATAATGTGTACATACATCTGCACCACTGACATCGGTTCTGAGCCATATCCCCAAGAGTCACCAAACGCTCTTTTCTCTTCTCCCGTGGACCCCAACCACCTAGTCTGCATCGCCGTTTTATGGATGGCTCAAACCAACAGCCAACAACCTCATGCATTGATACCATGTTTTAGTCTGGCTGCACCGAACCTCTTTCCAGCCTGAACCTACTTCGCCTAACATTGTGCGACAACGCAGACGGTGTCTAGGCATGCGTAACACATGCCACAGCCAACTCAATCGATGATGGTTCATAACCCCATCAACTTTCTTGCCTCTCCTTCCTAAAATTCTACTCCTGACTTCTACGTTACTCACATGGTGACACGACCTATGCTACGAAGACAACGGCGGTCAAACACATGTCTCATATCTCTTCATGTCTTCTACCTTCAATGGCCATGTTTCACACTCATACAACAGAACAGAGTGGACTGCAGCACACTACACTCTATCCTCAATAGACAATCGGATAACGTGGCTGCACCAAGGATGGCGTGAATTGGCAAATGCCTTTTGTATTCGTGCAGAGAGATATCGTCGGCTACTGAGCCAGCCAACACAGCTGATCCAACTTCCCAGGTGAGTGAAGTGTTCAACGCCACTCAACCACTTCACTCTGTATTGCTAACCAAGGCACCATTGGAGACCAGTTCTGGAGAAACAATTTGTATTTGGGTGGTGAGAAACGGATCCCAAACATTCTCAAATTCCCACTCAAACTGTACTGAAGACTCAGCATCTTGTCAGCGTCTTCACCTAACAGGACAATGTTATCTGCCTGGATAGCGGGCAATGGAATAGTAGCTGGAGGCCGGTTGAACTGTTCCTGGAAGTGTTCCACCCATCTTCCCAGTCGTCTCTCTTGTCAGTCAACCGTAGCTGCATCCTTCTCTGTTATATTGTCACTAACTGTTGTTGACCTTTTCACTCCAGTTTGCTCAATAAGTCCACTGTTAACTATCACCCCTGTCGTTTCCATCTCTTTAGGCTTCGCTGCCCATCACTGTTTGCGGTTGTTGCGTAGACTTTTCCCAATCTACTTTTAAGTTGCTCTCGCTCTTCATTGTACTCAGAGCCTGCAGGCAGTGATGCGTTCACGTGCATTCATTAGTTCGGAAGAGGCTGTTGATATCCACTGGCTCTTTTTAGTCACTATTTCGGAGTCGGTTACAGTCTTCAGTGCTGCTTTTACAGCAGACTGGAGATGGCACAAAGCTTCTTCTGGATGAATGATAGTCTTCTGTTCCAACAACGGACTAGCCAACTTCTCACTGAAGCCGTCCTTACTGCTCTCATTGTCGAGCTGCACTTGCATTGGTTTTCTTGCTACACATGCATTGAGATGCAGACACACACAAGCTCAAACCAATGTGTAGCCACCATACAAACACGTTCTTCAGAAGTTTTGGCAGTATTCCACTGATCCTCTCCAACGATGACGAATAGCAATGTTGTCTATATGTGTCCATTGTTGAGTTGAGCTCAGTGGACGCCACGTCAGACAGTATCTTTCTCTATGTCTGAAATTGGTGCTGGCTAAAAATAGGCGGTTATCTGAGCACAGTTGTAGTAAGTAATCAGCGTCATCTGTTCGTTCAGCTGGGATTCCGAAAGCGCAACCTGAGTGCCTTCCTGCCTCACTCAGTCTACCCACCTACCTGTGTCTTGAAATCATCTGCAATAACCACCATGTCTGAACGTTTGACTTTCAGAAGGAGGCTGGATAGTTTTCGGTACAACTCATCCGAACTACAGTCAGTGGGTGTGTGAACAGAGATTACAAAGAGACAACGGCGAGTTTAATTCCCCCTTTTAGTTCTCACTGTGCCGTTCAGTTGGACAGGGTGTAGGTGAATGTCAACTGAGATCCAATTTAGTGGTGATCTTTTTGCCCTAGTGCTGAATGCTATGCTTACACCTGCAAGACTGCAAGAACTAGCCATCTGATCTGCAGAAACTCGAATGGTGAATTTCGCGGATTCACCATATTGTTCGTGAGAGTTTAAGTGAATAAGCACACTTGGGTGCTGCTTGTATGTCTCACAAACACAACACAACACAACACATGCGTGACCCGAGTTGCTAGAGTCTTTGCCAATGAAGCCTGTTAACCAATTTGATGGAGGGTGCGGACATTGAAGGCTCCAATGTATAATTCGGAGTGTGGTTTAAGGAGACCAGGGATGGTGTTCTGTGGATTCAGATTGTTGTCGAAAGCTGCAGAGCTGGAAGAAATTAAAGATGATGTAGGATTGTTAAGTGAGAGTCGTGAAGGAAGATTAGAAGATAAGGATGAGGGAGGGAGGTGGATAGTAGTCTGAGGGGACGTGAGCGCTGACAGAGTTGTGGGTACAGCTGACACTTCCCGACTGCAGACACCATGGAAGGCCAGGTCTTCTTGAGACACTTGAGAAAGAAGGTTTAGTGAGTGACCGTAAAGCCCAGAGGACATCTGTCTGAGGCAGGGTCACGTACGGTCATTTTGATGCCATGACAAGTAGCCTGAATTAGGGAAGATTTTGTCGGATAAATGAAATATGATTTTGGATATCCACTTAATCGGTGATGTCTGATCTAAGCTATCAAAGTGTATCATCTGTTCGTTTAAGAACATGTTAACAGTAACTGGTTTCTGTCTAACCGCAATCCAACAGACCTTTCTGGTATGGTCCAACATCGAGAGAACAAATGTTTCACCAGTATAGCTGGTTGGGTCATCAGGGCATACAAAAGCAACCACTACATCAAAGTAGCAGCTATTGGTCGGGATACTGTGAAACAGTGTCAAAGATCATAGTTGACTCTTAGAAAGTGATTAGGGGGAGGTGATGAATCCTGCAGCTTCTTCTGAATTAATGGTTGCATGTAAAAGAATTCTTGCTGTCTCTCAGCACACTGCAGAGCGTAAGCAACTCAAATACAGACTGACAAAGAGTCTACATAATAACCGTCAGCAGGGTTGGGCAGCAATGGCTGAACAAGGCTGAAAAGGCAGCTGCGTTACGCAACACTAGACAGTTATTTAGGTCGGCCAAGCAGACTCGGACAAACAAATCAATGGTAAGTGAAACTATAGCGGATAAGGATGGGTCTGCGATTCACTCACAGAGAGTACGACTGGAACGATGGGTGGGACACATCGAGGAACAGTTCGCCTGGCCTCCTGCTATCCTGTCGGATCCTGAATGGAACATTGATATAAGGTCTTTAACTCTTGACGCAGTTGGGAAGGCTGCAAGTAAATTGGAATTAAGGAGAACAGTGGGCCAGATAGGCTAATATACCAGGGGTTATCGAAAGTTGTTCCTCAAGAATTACTGGTCAAATTCACTGAAATGTAAGCCAACTTATAGAAATATGACTGGTTGCAATCACTGATTGCACAATCTTTAGGAAAAGCGAGAAGTACTCTTGTGATTACTACAGGGTAGTCATTCTGACAAACATAGTATCTAATACATTAGAATAAATAACCATTAGAAGCCAATGTGACGCTTTGAAATAGGCAGGTCTTTGGCCTGGTCGTGGATGTATCTACCAGATAGTCACCCTTCGTGAGATTCTTGAACACAGATACAGTGAACAACGCCTGGGAGTGCCTGCATTTCTCGACTTGAAGGTGACATTAGACTTTATCGACCGAAGGGTGTTATGGTAGTGTCTCTCACTGAACTGGATGCGGAGCCAGCACATCATCCTGTCGAAGGCTATATACTCGAACACCTGTAGGCGTGTTGGAGCCTATGGTGAGTTGTGTGCGTCGAGCGGTGTCTGTCAGAGCTATCTATTCTCTATTCTTTTCCAACTTTGTCATAGACGTAACTATGGCGGTGTCTCCGTGTCTTCATCTGACTGTGCAGGGATTGACCTTGTCACAGGAGAATCCTTGGTATATATATATATATATATATATATATATATATATATATATATATATATATAGAGAGAGAGAGAGAGAGAGAGAGAGCATGCATATGTTAAAGTCTTTTTAGGTGAAGAGGTTGACACGATGCGGAATCCATTGGACACATTGAGTGGCAATTTGAGAATGTTTGAAATGCGCTTATCCCCGCCTGAGCGTAAGTTGTTGCTTCACGTCTAGTTTTCGCTGGTGTCTTGTTTATCGATACGGTGTGGATTTGTTGAGCGTGTTGACCATTTCACTTACTTGAAAAGTCGGATCAGCCCTGGTAGGTTAGTGGTCACGAGAGACCTTCAAGTGTTTGACTACCACTGCCAAAGTAGCTTAGGTTATATGCCATGGTGGCACAAAATCAGTTACGCAGAGGTTTAGACAGAAGAGGAAACACAGTCGATGGAGTTTTGAGTCTTCATTGATTCAGATGGCTGTCTGTGTGTCGTATGATTCAAGTGGGTCACTGATACAATCGACCATACCATATCAACATGGCAGCTGTTAGTTGACGGTGAAAATCCTCCTACACTTCCTGCTGTGTGTTCCTCTCACTATATGTTTTGGAATAAAAAGTTGCTTAGAATACATTGAATAGGTTTTGCTTACGTGTTAATATTGGTCAAAACACTTAGAAATGATGATCAAAAGAGCAGAGAATTCGGTCAATTTAATTAGTTTATCATGAATAAAATGACAGAGTACAATCATAAGGAAATTAACCATAACTCTACATCACTGTTTACATTCAACATCCTCTATGCTGAGAAATGAAGACTTGCTAAGATATTCAATGTTGCATGAGATAAAAAGAAAATCAGATAATTCTATTCAAAAAATGCTACTGATATGTCAGAAGCTCATTGAAATATTTGCAAAATACAGGCAAGTTAGATACTTTAATTCTGTAAATGATAAATGCAAGCGGTTAATCGCAAGCTTTTACATTGAATAATGAACAATTTAATCAATAATTTATGGTAATTTCAATCGAATCACAAAAGTATAGATCATCAGAGCATGGAAATAGCGTAACAATAGTTTAAAAGTTTACCTTAATCATAAAATATGCAACTAGTGTTGAAGAATGATGAAGAAAAAGGCAATAATAGGAAATAAATTTCTGCATAAGCAAGTAATCATAAGACTAAACATCAAACAAGTAACACTTTGGATTAGTTTAAAATACTTAAACAATATTCTGCATACACGTGACGATAGAATGATATCGAAACGAATGTTTATACATGGAACTCTTTCTATTTAGGAACTTCTCGAAGTAAGCACATTACAATAACGATTCTAGTTCTTTCTGAGTCATTTTGAGCAACTAATTTTGGTGAATAGTCTATGCAGAGATTAATTCGTAATTCGTTGTCGAAAACAGCTGAGATTCCACATATGTATGCTACATGCGTTCGGATATATATATATATATATATATATATATATATATATATATATATATATATATATATATATATATATATATATATATATATATGCCAACGGAGATCTACAAATTCAGTCCAAAGTAACAAACAATGGGAAAGTACAAGTAGCATTAGCTGTATACATTAGGTTTTTCATACAGAAGGTTCTTCATCTCTGAGGTTTGGATTTAGTGTTCAATCTATGGAAAGACATGCACATTAATCTTCAGTCGATATTTTCTTTAGAAAGGCTATTTGTCGTTCCAGTGTATCAGTTGTAAATACACTGGATGGGTGCAACAAGAGATATAATGAACTTCCTCTTGCAACTAGTGTGTACCTAAGTGTAGACACGCGTCGACTGGTCATTTAACGTGAGCTATCATCATCTATCATGTGTCCTAAGCAATGTTTTACTTGTCTTTCATGTCAGTTCTATATCAAGAAAGGGAATTTTAGATCTACTTCCTGCTTCAATAATCGTTAGGTGGCAGGTAATAAATGTATGCAGTAGATAGTTTAAGCCCCATTTGTTATCATGGATTATTTAAGTAACATCCAGGTACTTTTGGTAGTATTGGAAATCGTCAATAAAAATGATAAATAACAACATGGATGAAAAGAGATTTTCGGAAAGCAAAGCAAACGATGAAGTTATAGTGAGCTTTCAGAATCAGTCCGTTGTAGCGTTCGGTTTTTTGTTTGTTTTGAAAGTTAAGACTGTAAAAGAGGTGAAATACTAAAAAAAAACGCGTTCAGCACAAAGCAGGAACCAACACGAAGCCTTTAATTTGAATTCAAATCTCAAAGACAGTAGACCAAGGTTAGGAGTTGTCATGATTACAGATAATTAAGAAAAATTCATGCCATTCGCCATTTTAAGAACGTTTGCATTCTAACCAAATACACGATTTGTATACTAGACGGTAAGTAACACAATAAGTACTGTGTAAAGACTTATCACTTTACGATTGTTTAGATCAGTATATGCAAAGTAAAATTTCACCTTATAAACCTGAGGTTCATAGTTGAGTGAGTACACAAATGAATCACAAGTTTATAGTCACAATTAAGGTGAATTCGAATGTCAAATAAAATAAAAAGGGATTTCGTAATGACTAAACCTACCTTAAATACAACTGACTGTTGACTTCCAGAACGATTATTGTTATCGCAGTTCATAGGATTCATATCCACAGAGGATCTGCCTTTATCTTTCGCATAAACTGAACTTTTTAGGATATTGTCATCATCAAAAATTGATTTTCCTGTGTTGCATAACGGTGACATTATATTTTCATCCGTAGTAACAGACTCCTTTATATCCAAATTAGTGGTATTAGCAGTTAACCGATTTCCACGTTGTTCTATTTCTTCATTCCAAAATTGAAAAAATAAGCTGGATAGTTCTTCTAACCGCGATTGTCTTATACGCTGTAAGTCATCACTAGAGCGTAAGTCTCTATAAAAAGTGGACATAAAACGGACATTTTAAAATCGTAGATTATTCAAGGAAATTTATTCTGAAAGAAACTGTCAAAAAATCGTGACAATCTTATTTCACACATTAAGTTTATTGGTGATACTTTAATGGTCATAATAGAAAATACAACTGATATGACATTAATTGGTAATATATGTGTAAATACATTGATAATAACATTCATAATCTATCCCTACTGGTTCCTTAATTCCTCAAAACCAAATGGAGAGCTAAAATGATAAAAGATGCATTGTCAAGTTCAACTACTGACAATAATACAATATTAACCCAGTCGGATAGACACTCAGTCATTCAAACGTGGAGCAAACTAGGATTCTACACTACATGGAAGACTTGGGCAATTTATTACAAGGAACAGGTGAATTGAATTCATTATTCAGAAGTAATTTCGTATTAAAAGATAACAGATGGAGAACTTCTATATTTTTAAATAGCTGGCATGGTTTTTCCACAAATACCCGAAGCCGTATTCTGAGGAACCAGCATGCCATAGCAACTAGCTTCAAATAGAAATGCACTCAGCAAGCTTGTGCATATTCGTGCACAAGAATATGAGCCACAGTTATTGTGTGAGGGCGAATGATACCAACTGGATGCCCAAACATTGGTAGGTGAAGCGGAGTCCGAACTCATAACCCCTTGGTTGAAAGTCATCTCCCGAAACCAATGAGCTACAGCTTCACGAAACCAGCTTACTACAGAACACTTAATAAAGTTTACAACTGCAATCGACATATCAGAGAGACAACCGTAGAGGGTACAGAAGATAGATTATTCATCAAAAATTGATTAGAATTACAATACGGTCACCATCAGCAGGAGAAAGTGCTTCCATTTCAGTTAATTTATCAAAGGAATTAAAGATTTTTCGGGAATAAACAATAATGCAAAAGACACTTTAGGGCCAAAATTATCCACTGCACTTGAGTCATTGCTGAGAGAATTAGGAAGCTAGAAAAGATATACAAAAAACAGTCGTTTTGACCATATGAGAGAAGAATAAAACCAAGTTGGTTACGTATAGATAGTAAACGTTAGAAGTTGGGAAACGAAAGCAGCACTGTTATAATTCTGACTGACATAGCAGACTACAACAAAAAGACTGACAAATCGTCCATAAAAGAAGATCTATAACAAGTAAATGAGACAGATAACATTCGAAAGCTCGATGACCATGTACGAAGACAACTAATTAAATTAGTGTTAATCAACCCGGTACATATTTATGTAATCGCAGCACCTAATACATAAAGGCTTAATGATACTAGCTGCTTGTATGAACCCAAGTAGGTTAACTGTGATTTGAGACCTGAACACAATGGTTGTTACTTGAGAATTTATTTCTAGTTTCCATATATTCCTGAAACTTAAACAACTTCCTCAAAGCGAGTTAGTAGCGAAATAAGGCGAATAGAGAATAAAGTCCAGAAAAAGGAATCTTTCTGGTTTTGTAGTGGTATGAAACCGTACAAGCCAAAGATTACTTTACGATCGATTATTTCACTTCAGAGGACTCACGTGCATAATCGATTGATAGAAATTTAGTCATGAAACTATGACGCGAATTTTTCATAACAATAGATGAAGAAAAAAGCATTTGATTAAGTGTATTTTACATTTTTAATTTCAACTAAACAAACCAACAAAAAATGAATAAATAAGTATTTTGGAGGATTCATCAGCAACTCAATTTTGTTAGGACTATCCTTTTCAAGTTTAATAGGAACGGTGAGATAAAGTGATGTGCTATCAGGAAGTTTAAACCTGTTTGCAATAAATTCAGTTACATCAATTCCAAGAAATTGAAGATTCCAGAACAATAATCTTGTATGAAAAGTAAAAACAACCGATTTATATATTGTCATATGTCCCGATTTTGTTAAATATATAGGACTACACCGTATATTTCCCATATTCTCTCGAATGCATATTTGATCAAATTCTGTAACACACTAGAACAGAACAATAGAAGTGGTTGCATCGTCCACTTTAAGATGGTTTGTAGTAACACTTAGAATAATCTGTTCTTCATTCAATGTAGTCAAGAGTACAACTAAGCATAAAAATTCTGTTCAATCTTTTTAGTTTACGTAGGAAATTTATTCCATGATATGTTTACTGAAGTTTATTAATAATGTATATGCACAACTGTCGAAGGCGTACTCCTTTTGCACCACACTCTATAAATGACACTGAAATAGGACTCTGGTCGAGCTATATGTCCAGAGTTGACCAAACGTTCAAGAATTGAACTGTTAATTGATTTTCATTCTCCCCTCAACAACCATGCAGGACAATTCTAAGAGATACATTTGGAAAGTGAACGCTTTGTGTGGCCTACATAACCAGGTCTACAGGAGAAAGTGAACTGAAAGACACATATTGAGGTGACCCAAAGTGGCAACTTGTCCCTAACGCACCTCGAAACTAATTGCGGACTACAGAAGCTGATCTGCAGCTTCGCGGAGAAGAATGTCGTCTTCAGGGATTTGGACAACTGATTCTTCAGGGTCTCTGCTGCCGTAAAGCCTTTGAAACCAAAGTTAATAAACAAGGTCTTCCCTGGAACTGAGTGTTTTCTATGCATGGTTGTTGAGGGAAGAATGTAAATCAATTAACAATTCAATTCTTGAACATTTGGTCAACTCTGGACATATAGCTCGACTAGAGTCCTCTTTCAGTGTCATTTATAGAGTCATCAATTCAAACCTGATCTCTGGGTGCAAACGAAGTATGTTCAATCTCTTGTCTTGCCATAGTCTTAACGCTTTCATAATTTTTCGATCTCATTATAATTCGTTAGTTTATTATTATCACCTTCATTATGACCCTTGACTCATTCTTCACCTTCATATTTATTTATCAAGTGGGCACTCAATCTTCGCATTTCACATCTACCAACAGTTTTCATCTTGTCAAACTCCTTTCTTCCCTCATTGTTTTCACCGTCTGAGATTATTACGTAACCACTTTCCATTCTTGATTTCGGTTTTTTAGCACTAGCTTAATGATGCAATTACACACTATTGTTTAGTAGTAGACTTATATGTTTGCGATATATATAAATACGATTGTACACCTTTAGAAAATGATATCGTCAAAATGAAAATGTTAATCGCTGAATGATCTCTTCTTTTCATTTTATCGCATATTCAGTAGTTATTGTGGTTGTTTGATATGATCTAAAATTAGGCTAATGCTATATAATTCGGAAGTAAACAGTAAGTAGCGGTATAAAAACTGGTTATAGATGCGGGTTTCAATTCCCCGACCTAGCTGCCAATAAATTTGAAAAGGACAAAGTGTGAAGTGAATAAATTTATTTCGCAATTTGCTAGTTGACGATCGAGGAAATAATATGCGTGCATTTATATGTTTTGACACAATGACCATGTCAGTGAATCATTCACTGTACAAATTCGAAGTGGCTTTAGAGACCACCGCACTAACAACTGGTATAACAAATTAGGTTTTTTTTTTTAATTCGGCTGAAACTTTAATTTTTACAAAGTGAAGGAATGTAATTGTTTATCTCAATAGTCATTTGGGCGGCCTTCAAAGCCATTCCAAGTTTGAGGACATTTTAAACTTTGCACGAGTTTGAAAAAATTTAAGCATAATTACTGAATACAATTGATTAATCGGCCGTTCTAGACATTATTTTCGGGAACCAATGAAATTTTGCCTGCTACACAAATTCATCATCATCATCATCATTATCAACATAGGACCAGGCATTACTGCGTAACGGTCCGAGTTGCCACACCTCATATCAGCACATCAAGTAAAAAGGTAGTGAGGTGAAGGATGAAGATAAGTGAATCCAGTCAAAAGAAATATAAAGTATGAGAAGAAAGGAAAGAGGAGTGACAAAATAGTGAGATTCGGTATAGCGTTGTTAAGATGAGGATAATGTGTGTATACATCTGCGCCACTGACTTCGGTTCTGAGCCATATCACCTAGGGTCTCCAACCACTGGTTCCTCTTGTCCCGTGGACCCCAACCACCTAGTCTGCATCGTCCTACATGGCTTAAACCAACAGTCAGAGACTTCATACATTGGTGCCATGTTTTAGTCTGGCCACCTCGGGCCTTTTTCCAGCCTGAACCCACCTCAGCCAACATTGTGTGACGAGGCAATCGGTGACTAGGCATACGTAGTACGTGTCCCAACCATCTCAGTCGATGAAGGTTCACAACCTCGTCGACTGACTTACCTCTTCTCCCTAAAACTTTACACCTAACTTCTGCATTACTCACATGGTGACACCACGGAATACGTCCTATACTACGAAGGCAACGGTGGTCAAATACCTGTAACCTTCTCATGTCTTCCACTTTCAATGGCCATGTTTCAGAGCCATACAGTAGAACAGAGCGGACTGCTGTGCAGTACACGCGACCCTTAATAGACAAACGAATATCACGGCGGCGCCATAGGTGGCGCAAATTGGCAAAAGCCAATCGAGCCTTTTGTATCCGTGCAGAAATCTCATCGGCAACTAATTACTATTACTATTTTATAATTAATAGTTCGCTGTATCTTTTGATCTACTATCGAAAACTCTATCAAAGTGAACAGTTATGCAGTTTTAATCTGAAAATCAATAAACTATGCAAATAATTATCCACCTTCGAATTCAAACAATCACTTGATAGATTTTACATATTCATTAAGTTTCCTCATTTTCAACTTCTTTTTAAGGCATTAAACTCAGTCAAACTGTTAGATGCGACTTCTTTTTTTAGTGTAGAATATCAAATTATCAACATTTTTATTTGTATTGTATATTATTAGGAAACAGAAGATAATAATGATGGTTGCACTTCAGTTGATCACATGACTACACAAGCTGATATGTTTGGTAAGATAAAGCGTTTAACCGATTCAAATAGTCTTTGTATGGAAAAAATACTAGTTACTACGGGATTAATGACCTAATTTTGAAATAAAAACATCTACTGCATCATAATCACTGATGATAATAATAGCAGTAATCATGCTATGCAACAATGTCTGACGACTCTGATAAAATGTTGCTGCGGAAATCACGGTAGTTCGAGTAACATTGGAACCTATCAACCATTAGTTGAAAGTCACTTGGTTAGTTTGATGAGCTACAGCTTCACAAGTATGAAGTCTATGTATAGTGCAACAGACGTTCGGTAGTAGAACTGTAGAAACAAAGTCAGACTTTATGCTGGTATTCAGCATCTGAAGAAAAACCAGAACACGTGAAACACAAAAGATTTCCTTCATCCAATAGTTTTGAGCTCCTCAGCAGTGTATACACACACAACATCATGTAGAATAGAGTACAGAATCATCATGTGTAGTAGTGAGGTTGTGACCGGTTAGTCAATGTGTTGGAAGCACAGTGGTCTACATGGTTCGCTGGTAACGTGCGTCATGTGATAAGCAACGCGACCGGGTTCCATGGTCTGTGAGTTATTGGTGTGCTCTGCTGAACTATCCCAAACTAGTCAGTTTTCTTCATGTAAAGCGGCTAACAGCATTTCAGATTTCATCAAAGTTGAGGGTGATGATCAAATGGATCAAAAACGTTATTCATAAACATACAATTGAAATTATTTATACGAAACTAACACTGAAGGGAAACTTACACAAACGATGAATCTTCTGAATCTGAATGAAAAGAAAAAAGTGGGAATAAGGTGAAAATGTTTGGTAAAAAGATACAGATACAAAGAATTCAGTAAATATTTGAAAAAAAACATTGGCAATACTGCCAACCAATGCATAAGACTATCACTAACATCTACTAACTGTGTGAGTTTTCTTCACGCTATCACATTGATTAAATCTAGGAGTTTGGAGTCAAGAACTATTTGATAGAAAGTGTATGGACTAGAAAGATAAAGAGAAGGGATTGTAACATGCGTCAACAATACGTAAATTTAGTTGTGAAGATGTGATCGCGACCGAAAGCTGCTACCTTGACGTCGTGCTCAAGCTTGCATATCACAATGACCCAACGAGCTATGCTGGTGGGACGCTTGTTCCCTCGAGGTCGTCCAATACCGAAAAGCAGTTGCCGTTGTGGTGTAAATTACTACACTATGATGGGGGTCTGAGGGCGAAGTCGTACTGCTGCTAGCTGGATGGGGTGTGACAGCAGTAAGGTGTTTCCCTTAGATGACTAGCAGTGCCATGCTGATGCTGCCTTCTCAGTGGAAGGAGGGGTTAGAAAAGGTCAACCCCAAAAATAACACACTCCACCATGCCCCACGGTCTGCCGGAACGGCGGTGTTGGTTCATTTGTCGTTTTCTTTCGACCATCCGGCCCCAGAAACACAATGTTCAAAATAATCATACACAAAAGGCTGAGTGTGACAGGCCTCAAGCAGATGTCCGATGGGCTCTGCGGTCACACAAATCTCTTAAGAAGAAATAGCCTTCAACAACGGTGTGGGCAGCCGGGAAGTGTCAACTGTACCCACAAATCTGTCAGCGCTCACTTTCCCTCAGACAACTATCCACCATCAAAAAATCCGTACGTGACCCTGCCTCAGACAGATGTCCTCTGGGCTTTACGGTCACTCACTAAACCTTCTTTCTCAAGTGTCTCAAGAAGACCTGGCCTTCCATGGTGTCTGCAGTCGGGAAGTGTCAGCTGTACCCACAACTCTGTCAGCGCTCACGTCCCCTCAGACTACTATCCACCTCCCTCCCTCATCCTTATCTTCTAATCTTCCTTCACGACTCTCACTTAACAATCCTACATCATCTTTAATTTCTTCCAGCTCTGCAGCTTTCGACAACAATCTGAATCCACAGAACACCATCCCTGGTCTCCTTAAACCACACTCCGAATTATACATTGGAGCCTTCAATGTCCGCACCCTCCATCAAATTGGTTAACAGGCTTCATTGGCAAAGACTCTAGCAACTCGGGTCACGCATGTGTTGTGTTGTGTTGTGTTTGTGAGACATACAAGCAGCACCCAAGTGTGCTTATTCACTTAAACTCTCACGAACAATATGGTGAATCCGCGAAATTCACCATTCGAGTTTCTGCAGATCAGATGGCTAGTTCTTGCAGTCTTGCAGGTGTAAGCATAGCATTCAGCACTAGGGCAAAAAGATCACCACTAAATTGGATCTCAGTTGACATTCACCTACACCCTGTCCAACTGAACGGCACAGTGAGAACTAAAAGGGGGAATTAAACTCGCCGTTGTCTCTTTGTAATCTCTGTTCACACACCCACTGACTGTAGTTCGGATGAGTTGTACCGAAAACTATCCAGCCTCCTTCTGAAAGTCAAACGTTCAGACATGGTGGTTATTGCAGATGATTTCAAGACACAGGTAGGTGGGTAGACTGAGTGAGGCAGGAAGGCACTCAGGTTGCGCTTTCGGAATCCCAGCTGAACGAACAGATGACGCTGATTACTTACTACAACTGTGCTCAGATAACCGCCTATTTTTAGCCAGCACCAATTTCAGACATAGAGAAAGATACTGTCTGACGTGGCGTCCACTGAGCTCAACTCAACAATGGACACATATAGACAACATTGCTATTCGTCATCGTTGGAGAGGATCAGTGGAATACTGCCAAAACTTCTGAAGAACGTGTTTGTATGGTGGCTACACATTGGTTTGAGCTTGTGTGTGTCTGCATCTCAATGCATGTGTAGCAAGAAAACCAATGCAAGTGCAGCTCGACAATGAGAGCAGTAAGGACGGCTTCAGTGAGAAGTTGGCTAGTCCGTTGTTGGAACAGAAGACTATCATTCATCCAGAAGAAGCTTTGTGCCATCTCCAGTCTGCTGTAAAAGCAGCACTGAAGACTGTAACCGACTCCGAAATAGTGACTAAAAAGAGCCAGTGGATATCAACAGCCTCTTCCGAACTAATGAATGCACGTGAACGCATCACTGCCTGCAGGCTCTGAGTACAATGAAGAGCGAGAGCAACTTAAAAGTAGATTGGGAAAAGTCTACGCAACAACCGCAAACAGTGATGGGCAGCGAAGCCTAAAGAGATGGAAACGACAGGGGTGATAGTTAACAGTGGACTTATTGAGCAAACTGGAGTGAAAAGGTCAACAACAGTTAGTGACAATATAACAGAGAAGGATGCAGCTACGGTTGACTGACAAGAGAGACGACTGGGAAGATGGGTGGAACACTTCCAGGAACAGTTCAACCGGCCTCCAGCTACTATTCCATTGCCCGCTATCCAGGCAGATAACATTGTCCTGTTAGGTGAAGACGCTGACAAGATGCTGAGTCTTCAGTACAGTTTGAGTGGGAATTTGAGAATGTTTGGGATCCGTTTCTCACCACCCAAATACAAATTGTTTCTCCAGAACTGGTCTCCAATGGTGCCTTGGTTAGCAATACAGAGTGAAGTGGTTGAGTGGCGTTGAACACTTCACTCACCTGGGAAGTTGGATCAGCTGTGTTGGCTGGCTCAGTAGCCGACGATATCTCTCTGCACGAATACAAAAGGCATTTGCCAATTCACGCCATCCTTGGTGCAGCCACGTTATCCGATTGTCTATTGAGGATAGAGTGTAGTGTGCTGCAGTCCACTCTGTTCTGTTGTATGAGTGTGAAACATGGCCATTGAAGGTAGAAGACATGAAGAGATATGAGACATGTGTTTGACCGCCGTTGTCTTCGTAGCATAGGTCGTGTCACCATGTGAGTAACGTAGAAGTCAGGAGTAGAATTTTAGGAAGGAGAGGCAAGAAAGTTGATGGGGTTATGAACCATCATCGATTGAGTTGGCTGTGGCATGTGTTACGCATGCCTAGACACCGTCTGCGTTGTCGCACAATGTTAGGCGAAGTAGGTTCAGGCTGGAAAGAGGTTCGGTGCAGCCAGACTAAAACATGGTATCAATGCATGAGGTTGTTGGCTGTTGGTTTGAGCCATCCATAAAACGGCGATGCAGACTAGGTGGTTGGGGTCCACGGGAGAAGAGAAAAGAGCGTTTGGTGACTCTTGGGGATATGGCTCAGAACCGATGTCAGTGGTGCAGATGTATGTACACATTATACCGAATCTCATCATTTCCTCATTCTTCCTTTCTCTAGTTTACTACTTTCTACTTCTTTTGACTGAACTCATTTTGTTCCTTTATCTTCTATTTTGTTGACTTGTTACTTGATGTGGTGATATGAGATGTGGCAACTTGGACCGTTATGCAGTAATTCTTGGTCGTACGTCAATTTCGATGATGACGATTTGAGATGTAGCTGAAATGCTATACTTACCTGTTCCGACAACTGTCTACTTGGTTCCTTTCAGTACGAGGCCAAACATTTTTGCTATGAACTCATTGTTCATTTCATGTGGACTGCAGACAATGGGTATTATAAATAGTCGACGTCAAGTTTCACCATTCTTTTTGGCCCTGATTGCGCGGTTCAGTAGAACAGCTCAGACAACTATCAAGTGAGATCCAGTGGGGCACTGCACTTTCTGCCTTATCACCTAATGCTATACCTACGCCTGCAAGATGAGAAGAATTATCCATCGAATCTCCAAAAGCTCGGAGCGTGAATTTTTCCGATCCCCCATATTGGCTGGGTGCAGTTAAGTATCCTTCAGTAGTCTTCGTCTTAGACGTTATGCTGAATTTCAGTGTTTTCTTATTTCCCCTTCTCTCTGTTTTGACAACTTTTGACTGGTCTCTTTTGTTTTGTTTTATTTTTCATCTTGATGCATCCTAGCCTTATTTGCTTAGATAAATTTGACAACTCGAGCAGTTATTCAGTAATTCCAGTTTGCATATTGATGTTACATTTGTCTCGATAAGAAACGTTTTTCGGGTTACTTAGGAAGTGTTTGGTGTCGACAACCAGTTATCGAATCCTTTCCACTCCCCTTCACCCTTCTACCTCACTGAATTCCACATTTTCTCATTCTTGAGATTTCCACATCATCCGTAGCGTCCTCGAACTCTTCATCTCGTGATAACGATTCACGTTCACTGAATAGCATCATTCATCTCCTGAAACCCCAGTTAGAAGCTTTCAATGCCCTCAATTTTCGTTAAATCTGATAAATTTCATTAGCTAATACTCATTCATCTCAACTCGTGTTTGTGAGATGTGCATGCATACAGAACTCAAATGTTATTATACACTTGACCTAACAGTGGAATAAACAAGTGACATGGTATTGTGCGATGGAAACGCTCACGAGATAGAGAGTTTTCCGAAAAAGTTAAGAATGCTTGTGATACGTTTCTCACTTTTCGTATTTTATTAGTTACTTCAAGACTTGTCGGAATTAATAGGCATCTGATAATAAGAAATGTGTTCGACAACTGTTTACTAACCTCCTTACCACCTACTGAGGAGATAGGATAGACCCTGGTGGGTGGGTGACCCATGAAACCTCGGCACAGATACATAAGGGTCAGTTAGTTTTCACCATTTAAGTATCGAGTACACTGTATGGCTGCTCTTTTCGTCCTAATCTGTGTTTACTAAAGGTCCATGCTGAGGAAAGTTGGATTACGTTTGAAGAGTGTTCAGAGTGGCAAAACAGGGACATGGCACCAGTCGATTAAGTCTCTTAGTGTTGGTCCGAGTTGTTTAAGACGATGTGGACTTCCTAGTTGGGGTCCTTGAGATGGAAGGAATCAGCGGTTGAAGACATGGCT